ACCATGAGACAATAGATTCCATGAAGGTAGGGATGTGTTTTGTTCAATGCTCTATCCCAACTGCCTAGAAAAATGCCTTTCACATGGTAGGTATTCAATAAGTGTCTGGATGGGTGGATGGGTACATGGTGGATGGATGGATGGATGGACAGATGGATAGATGAGATAGATGAATGGATGGATGGATAGGATGGATGAATGGATAGGGGCGTGGGTGGGTGGATGGGTAGAAAGGTGGTGCATGGATGGATAGATGGATGGGTAGATGGATGGATGGGTGGGTGGGTGGTGCGTGGATGGGTAGATGGATGGGTGATGGACAGATGGATAGGTGAGATGGATGGATGAACGGGTTGGAGGCTACATAGGAGCAAATACTGTGATTTATAAGAAATATATGTATTTGGTCATTCATTCAGGTGACCAAAATATATTTTTCCTATATATTTGGTCTTCATCCACAGTTCCTGGCTCACAGCTCCCAAAACCCTTGGAATTTCCTGAGTGATAAGAGCAATGGGTACACCTTGTGTATTTGGTCTCTTGTCCTCAGTTCCTGAAAACACTTCAGAGCCTCTGAGGGGAAATGAGTGTCTTGTTATTCACAGCATGTGGTGGTGAGTCCACCACAGCTGGGGTTATGTTTATGAGGTGACTTTGGGAAACACCTAAGGATGGGGGCTGGTTTCCAGGGGAACCAACCATACACAGAGGGGTGGAACTTTCAGTCTCACCCCCTGATTTCCTGGGAGGGGAGAGAGGCTGAAGCTTGAATCAACCAATGGCCAAGGAGTTAATCAATTGTGCCTCTGTAATGAAGCCTCCATAAAACCCCAAAAAGGAGAAGGTTTGGAGAGCTTCCAGGTCAGGGAGCCAGAACACTTCCACAGGCTACCGTGCTGGGCCCCAGACTTCAGCAAGGACAGAAGCTCCTTTGTTCATGTCCTTGCCCTATGCATCTCTTCATCCGGCTGTCAATTCGTATTCTTTAATTTCCTGTGTAATAAATCGGTAATCTTGTGAGTAAATGGGTTTCCTTGAGTTCTGTGAGCTGCTGCTGTAGCAAATTCATCAAATCCAAGGAGGGGGTTGTGGGAACCTCTGATGCACAGCCAGGCAGTTGGATGCACAGGTAACAACCTGGGGTCGCGACTGTTCTCTGAAGTGGAGGGTGGTCTGGTGGGACCAAACCTTCACCTGGGGAATGTGATGCTCTCTCCCGAGTAGATAGTGTCAGAATCGAACTGAATTCTTGGACAGCTGCTGGTCTCACAGACTTGCTTGTGGGGGTGCGGAAGCCTCCCCGGTGCACCCACACGTGTAAACAAACCCAAGCTCTATGCGGTGCGCAGCAGAGCCAGTCACTTGAGACATGGATCATGCATCAAGGGAAGAGTTTATTCGAGAGGCAGCCAAACAAACCTCAGCTCTGCCGCCCAAAGGGCTGGGGGTTGGGCATGTCTAAGGACAAGGGGTCAGCATATAAGTTGAATGAAATAGGCTAATTGGATAGAGGGAAAGGCAGGTGCCTTCCTTTCTGAGCAAGCGCATCTCTTCATGGGACACGTGTTCAAAAATGTAAGTATGATGAATGGGGGGACATCTCGGGGTGTGTCCTCACAGAGATTACTTTCATTCGCTCCTGGTCCCTTCTGCACAGTTGCAAGAATTCTTCCTGGCTTGCTCCCAGGCTTACCGGTGGTTGGTCAACTTCTGCAAAACAAGTTTACAAATCAGTCAGGTTAGCCTAGAGTTTTCTTAGGGTAGAACGGTCCAGCATTTGCTACCTTACCATGGTGGTTACACACACACGCACACACACACATTGGAATTGGGTCCAAGAACCCAAAAGACTTAGACTTCCTGGGTTTTCAGCCATTGCTAACATCATGAGAACAGTCTTCCCAGAAAACACATTCCTTCTCCTCCCACGATGGCTTCATTCAGTGGGGAGGAGGAGGCTGTGTTCATTCAAGCAATTTAAGAAACTAAACTAAGACCAGCAGACTATGGGTCGGTCTCCTTTAAAAAAAAAAAAAATCTGTTACTTTGATGTCAATACTTATTATCTACTTTCTATTTCATAAAACAAGTAGTCCACATCCTAGAAAACTTAACAATTCTAGACAGGTGGAAAGAAGGAAAACATAAGCATATCCCCTCCAGATAGAGGCGGCTGTCGTGGGACCTCGCTGAGTCTCCCTCCGCTTGGATCCGAGGTGAGAAAGTGTGCATACAATTCTCATCCTGCTTTTCTCACCTAACTTGGTAGAAATGTTTTCCATGCTAATCCAATGACTGGCTCTCGTGAACACCATTTGGGTAGGTACCTAATGTTCTCTCAAGTGGATGAATAGTTGTCTTGGACCAGTCTCTTAGCACTGGGCCATGTGAATGGTGTCTAGTTTTTCACAACTATCAATTCTGCTGCATGAAAGGATAACTTTCAGTAACAGCCTTTCACAAGTCTCTAACTCGCCCTTGCAGGGCACTGGGGATGAAGGTCGAATCTGGGTGTGAGCAATAGATTGCAGGCCAAAGACACCCCAAATCCTGGCTAATGAGAGAAGGGGTGGGGGCAGGGTGGGAAGGGGGTGGGAGAGTTGCAGAGCACAGTTTTATTTTATTTTATTTTATTTTATTTTATTTTATTTTATTTTTAGGATTTCATTTTCAGTCATCTCTACACTCAAAGTGGGGCTCGAACCTACAACCCCGAGATCAAGAGTTGCATGCTGCACTGACTGAGCCAGCCAGGCACCCCAAGCACAGTTAATTATAAAATAAAGGGTTTTTTTTTAAGTTTTAATTCTAGGGGCACCTGGGTGGCTTAGTTAGGCGTCCCGACTCTCGGTTTCAGCTCAGGTCATGATCTCAGGGTCGTGAGATTCAGACCCATGTCGGGCTCCGTGCTCAGTGCAGAGTCTGCTTGAGATTCTTTTCCTCTCCCTTCCCCTCTGCCCCCTTCCCTGCTTGCTTGCATGCACTCTCTCTCTCTCTCTAAAATAAATATATTTTTTTTAAAGTTTTAATTCTTTTTTTTTTTTAAGATTTTATTTTTTTATTTGACAGAGTCAGCGAGAGCAGGAACACAAGCAGGGGAGTGGAGAGGGAGAAGCAGGCTTCCCACCGAGCGGGGAGCCCGATGCGGGGCTCAATCCCAGGACCCTGGGATCATGACCTGAGCTGAAGGAAGTCGCTTAACCAACTGAGCCAGCCAGGCGCCCCCCAAAAGTTTTAATTCTAAATGTACTGTATAGTTGTATACAATTTGGAAAAGAGGTGTTCTAAATGTGGCCCAACCTCAGCTTCAGTTAGCACGAATATTTAGGTCTCCTTGACCTCCAACTCCATGTGTACGCACAGAAAATCCTGTCTCTCCACAAAGTTCCCTTCCAACCCCGGCATTTCTGAAGTCCCCAGGAATTACCACGAGCCACTGCAGGCCTTCCTTCTGTCATCGTTAGATCGTTGCAAGCAGAAATATCCCTACCCTGAGTTTTCCTAGTTGAAGACTTGTATTTTGCCTCTGCTAAACCAAAGTTCCCTGGAGGCAGCTGGACCAGGTCGGGCAGAAAGGGAAAAGGAGTAGTTTACTCACTTCCATGGCATAATCAGGATCTTCTAGAAGGTTCACCTGGACGTCTAGACATGCCAGGGCTGGCAGAGGTAGCGCTCTCACTTCCTACCCTCGGTCCTCGTGTGTCTCGTGCGCAAGCCGGGTCTGGTGCGCTGTCGGGCCCAGGGGTGCTCAATGAGTATTTGTGCATCGACCAACTTAATGAACGGCCCCTCTGGCTGCAAACGCACATGGCCAGTGTGCACACGGGGCTGGGCAAGGTGCCTGGCAGACACAGCCCAGGAAGGCCCCGGCCTCTCTCCCCCCAGCCTGCCTACCACCCAGGAGTTAAGTGCACCTGTTAGGGGCTCCCCTAGCACCCCGCTATCCTTGTGTCCTACCATTGACCTCTCTTCCTCGTTAGTGGCTTATCTAGGGTCTGTCCCCTTGCTGGGTCCCCAGGGCCATTGGAGCAGAGACTGTGTCCTTTCTCAAGATGACCTGGCCTAGCTTGTACTCCATGACAGGCAGGGGCGGGGGGAGGAGGGCAAGACCTTTAGGATACGAATCCTAGTGTTTCATAGTTTACCCTCAAATCTGCCCCCGCTTATTAAGAAGTGAGAAAAAGTACCCAAAGAGTAAAAAGCATGTTGATACAGTAGAATTAGAACACCTCATGCCTTAAAGCAGTGGTTCTCAACCTCAGCTGAACAATGGGATTATTGGAGAGCCTGTAAAACTCCCAAAGTCCAGGTCATACCCCCGATCAAGGAAATCCCAGTCCCTGGGGACACGCGGGATCCACCCACTCATCAGTAGGTGTGGAATTTTCCCAGGTGATTCCAACTTGCAGACAAGTTTGGAAACACTCCCTTAAGTCCTGGGCCCCTGTCACGGGCCTCAGTTAATTAAAATCTGTCAAACGAATGAATGAATGAATGAATTTATGATTATGAGCCTTCACACCCTCAGCAAAGTCTGGTGTGTCCCTCTCTGGGACCCCAGGGAGTGGCCATGCTACCTGGTCACATTCTATACTCCCTGTAAAATTAAAGAGGAGTTCTGAAATTCTCCTTTATCTTCCCGGCAGTGGTTTTCAGTTTTTATAGCTAGATATTTAATGTCCCTAAATAAGAGAGTCTAGTGGCGCCTGGGTGGCTCAGTTGGTTGGGCGCCTGCCTTCAACTCAGGTCATGATCCCGGGACCCTGGGATGGAGCCCCGCGTCGGGCTCCCTGCTCAGCGGGGAGTCTGCTTCTCCCTCTCCCTCTGCTGCTCCCCTTGCTTGTGCTCGCTCACTCTGTCAAATAAATAAATAAACTCTTAAAAAAGTCTAGAAATACATTTTTCAAATAAAAATCCTTCTCCAACTCGTTTGAAACGTCACCTGTATCCTGGAATGCCACCCTCATGTCATTCAAGACAAGTCGGTGGCCCACCTGCAGTGAGCGGGGCACTGCCGGATGCTGGGGGCACACCCCTGGCCTCCCAGGGGGTACACCGTGCAGGAAGACAGACGGGGAGTACCTACGCAAAATTTGTAATTTCAGAAGTGTGTGGACAGCGCTTTGAGAGAAAAAGATGGGATTCTGGAAAGAAGAGGAGGAACCTCATTTGACAGAGGGGTGTGGGGAACATCCTCTCTGCAGAAAGGACAGTTATGATCCTGTATCTATTTATGCGTCTACCTCTTTAGCATTCCCCTCGTGGGACACTTCAGGAAGACCGGGCCCACATCTGCCTTACGCACCTCTTGTACCCTTTCCTACCTCCTGATTTGGGGACAGGCTCTCCCGCCAGCCCTGCCCCCGGAGGGTCAGCCTGTAGCGCTGGGTGAGCTGGCTCAGCTCCTGCTCCAGCTGCAGGGTGACTGTCCTCAGTTCCTCGGCGGTCTCTGCCCTTGCCCCCTCCTTCCAGGTGCTTCCAGCTCTGCAGCAGGCTTTTCACGTCTTGCACAAGTAGGAAGCCAGCCCCAGCAGCACCCAGCGGCCGGACACCTTTGGTCATGGACAGAGCAGAGCCTTCAACAGCTGTCTGTAGCTGTCCCGCCCTCCAGAAGGGGACACGGTTTGTGGCCGTGAAGTTATTGACCTTAGCCATGAAGCCAGAGTTGGCTGGGCCATCTGGCGGGCCCGAAGCTCCTCAACGTTCCTGATGACACTGACACCTCTATAGACACGCGACAAAGCAGCGTGGATTGCAGGCCACCTTATTTCTTCAAAAGCTTCATACACCATGGTTGTTTCCATAGGCACCAGTCTGCTGGCTCTGTCTCTGGCTGCCGAGTTGTTCCTACTTTCTAAGATACTCGTCAACATGTTGGTGGCAGCAGCTGAGCCCCCAGGCCCAGCCCAGCCTCTGAGAGCATCAGACTGCCCCCTACTGTCACGGGGGCCAGGGCCAAACCCAAGAGGCTCATGACTCCAGAGATGGTGCCTGAGGAGCTGGCCACCAGGCTGGTCTTGGTGAGCATCTTATGGGTCGCGTCAACTTGGTCTGCAATAGCGTGAAGTTCTCTGATACTCTTTTCCAGCTTAAACTTCTGCAAGGGAAAACATAAGAGAAACATCTTTTCCTCCTCCGACAGGTTTCCTGGCATGGACGCTTCCTTTTGTCGGATCAGCTCTTCCATCAGGATATCGTACAGCGTGTTGGCCTCATTGCTGCGGACAGCCCAGGTCACGTGATTATTTTTCCAACTCTGGGACGGGCTCCCCAGGAGAGCTAAAAACTTCTAGGTCATCTATGTTCTCTCACACATTCAGAGAGCGGGGCCCTGGGCACGAAGGTACAATAGGGGAGCATCGTGACAAAGGGTTCCTCTCTAGAGGGCCACCTAGGGGTGACCACATTTATATATATATATATGTATATATATATGTTTTTATATACACACACACACACACACACATGCGTGTATAATTCATACATCTAGAACAGCTTGTGAGCAATGCTATCCGGGGAAATGAGAGTCCTAACAACCCCTAGAGGAGATGGCTTGATTTTCTTTTTTTCTGTTAAAAGGGGATCTACCTGGAAATTGTAGTTGCTTCTGGGGTAAAGAACCGGAGAGCTGGGAAATGATTTGAGGGAGATTTTACTTTTTACTCTTTGCTCTTCTACTCCTTTGAAGTTTTGTATCATATGCGTGTTTTAGAATTAATTCAGAAAATGAACAAAATAACCTACACTTCCAAAGAAAAAGGAGGGAGAACCTCCAAGGAGACCCCAAATATGATCTCTTCCATAGAGGAGGGCTCATTGTTTGCCATTTGGTTTGACGGTGTTGTGTTATTTTGGCAACCGAAAGTAGATTTCTAACAAGAGGGTGATTGATGGTGCTTAGACACAGAAAGTTCTATCTGTTCGCTTGTGAACAGGCAAGTAGGAGAAGCACATCGTCTTAAAAAGAAGTGATAAGGAAGGAAAAAAATGTACAATTCAGAAAATTCTCTCCATTAACTCAAATTTCCCCTATATATATATATATTTTTTAATTTTATTTATTTATTTGACAGAGAGACACAGCGAGAGAGGGAACACAAGCAGGGGGAGTGGGAGAGGGAGAAGCAGGCTTCCCACTGAACAGCGAGCCTGATGTGGGGCTCGATCCCAGGACCCTGAGATCATGACCTGAGCCGAAGGCAGACGCTTAACGACTGAGCCACCCAGGCGCCCCTCCTCTATATCTTGGAGAAAAGACCACCATTACTCCGTTTTCCTGTGGAATCGATTTGGAACGCCACAGTTCTTGTGGCTCTATGTTTGAGAATCCCCGTTGTGAGGAAATTTGTCTTATAGGATTGGAGGCTTCCCAAGTGGACACCATTGGACTGTGCAGGATGCCGGAACCAGCTGCCTATAGCACGTCTCAGAATTTGACTTGTCTGACCCTTAGATTTGTTTCTAGCTTCGTCCTACTTGAGCACCCACAACAGACTGGGCATGGGTTTAATCCTGGAGAGGAGGTCTTTGGAAAAGAAGGCAGGGCTCGTGGGAAAACCACACTGAGACCAAGCAACCCCAAGGCCTCCAGAAAGGGATTGTTGACAATCACTTTAGAGCCCTGGGTAAGGCCATCAGCAGCCTCAGGTAGACCAGCCAACTGACCCCTGCCCAGGGAAGCAGCAGGAACCTCCCACCATCCTGCCCCAGCACCATGTCACTCTTTAACAAAGGCATACTCAGAGTTTTCTTTGGGACGTCTCTGTACACCTAGGAGTTAAGCCCCCCTCCAACTGAAGTCTTAGAGCTTCAGGGTGTTAAGGTGGAAGGCTCCCCCAGATCGTCTGGACATAGATGGCAAAGAGGCGTCCACATTCCTCCCACAGCTGTTAGGGTGTCCAGACCACTGTCACAGAAGTATTTCAAGACACAGGTAGGCTCTGAGAAGGAGCGCTGCATTGGCCCTGATGCTCTCTGCAGACCCAGCGCAGAAGGAAAGTGGCCACCTGCCACATTCGCTCCATCAGTGAGTCCAAGCACCGCCCCCCCCCCCATCACCGAGGACAATGCTGGCCCTGAGGGCAAGGTGACTCTCCCTAGATGACAATCCAGTTTGTGATGGAATTTGGCTAAGACTCCAGCTTTCCAGAAGCCTCTAGTTGGCCTCACCTGCTGGTCAAGGCTACTAGTCCCTTGAGAAAGGGAAAATCATCTCTCTGCCTTCACCAAAGGAGGGGGGATAAGCCCGTGCACAGGCACAGTGGACGTGACCTAATTAACCTGAGTCCAAGTTGGGCTCATCAGCCAGCAGCAAACGTGAAGGGCTTTGTTCTGATCTGCACCGGGATTAATGGGCACCGTGAGGAGGAGTCTGAAGAGTGGAAGAGGGACGGATTGGGGAGGGAGGCTGGGCCCACGACAGAAGTACATGGAATGGACGTTCTTGTCCTAAAAGGGCAGGCAGCTCTGGTTTGCATGTCTCAGGAAGATTTTATAATTTAAGAGCTTGGGGTAAGCCCTGGAGCTCATTTTATAGAATTTATGGACACTTGGGCAAGAGTTAGGGCAGCTTCTGGTAGGCTAGTTGCGGATACCATTATCAACGAGTATAATGCTGCAGCCAAGCTCTCCCGGAGAGCCTGAATGCCCAGGCAAAGGCTGTGAAAGAGGAGTCCCAGGAGTTTGGGTCTCAAGGCCTAGACGTTCTGGTGACATAAGCAAGGATGGGGAAAAGGAAGCAAATTCTGCTTCTAGGAATGCATCAGCCAATAGGCAGAGGATCTCGGCACCTACTAATGTGCTTACCAAAGGTTTTTAATTTGCTTTCCTAAGAAAACGTTTTTTGAGGATGTGCAAATCCTTTTTTCCCCCTCTTTCTGCACATTTCCAATTGGAAAGGGAAGTACATGAGATAGCATGATCAACTCTTCAGCCAACTTGGTCAGAACACATTTGTACATTTCCTATCATGAAGCTGGCGACAGCCTAGTGACACAATCTGGATATTAACAATCAGATTTCCTTCCCAAACTCAAATATCCTGGGATCAGGTCTGTGCCAGACGCTGTTCTAGAGACTGGGATTAGGGCACTGAGCACATCAGCCCAAACCCCTGCCCTCACAGAATGCACATCCTGGTCATTTCCCCCCCAAAACATCACTGTTCTAGGATTACCTGTCCAGACAACTTCTCTCCACCATCATCTCCCAAGCCTCTGGATGAAAGAGTATGTAGTGCATTTCTTCTCTAGTCATCTTGTCCAGAAAATGTTTAATGATGCTCCAGCAAAACAGACTATCCAGTTATAACATTGTAGATAAGAAAAGCAAGGTTAGAATATCAAAAATCTTAACGTCTTGAAAATTTCACATCATTTTGGCCTAATGATTTTAACCAAACAATTAAACTCTGATAAGATCCAGTGCTAACCAGGACGTGGTGAAAGTGTGATCTCTTAGGTTTCTGGTGGCAAAGCAGATTGGTGAAGGACTTTTGAAATGGTGATATTACATGTTAAATCACCAAGTCTGCCAATAACCCAACAACAGGCACAAAGATGATCAAGGCCATGTTACTGATACCACTGTAAATTTGAAAGTGAGTGATCATTCTGTCCAACCCTCTACAATCCTGGCAGGACTGTCCCATCTCTGCTTAAGCCTCCATAGCCATGAGTTCATTGGCTGGTTAGTTGTTTTAACCAGGTAGGTGAAGGGTAGCAGAAAATCTGACTCCAAAAGACGCTGCTTTGGGATATGGATTATTTTGAGCTGAAGGCACTTGAAATACAGCAGATACAGGGAGAGGCTTTCTCTGAACTTCCCTCATCTGCCTAAAGACAGATCCTCCAAAAGGAGTTCATTTGTCATAGACTCCCCCCTGGGAGTGTCAGCAGCCTCTTCTCCCAGGACAGAAGGCTGGAAGTCGACACCACACCCAGACACACTCTGTCCCAAACTATAAACCTCCTGCCTGTTCTTCTAAGGGCCCATTTGTCTTTCCCAGAAAGCATTTACTCCTCCCCCATCCCAAGAGGTCTACCTCCCCTCCTTACCCTTTTCCTATTAAATTGGCATTTAAGACTGAATTCTAAACCACCCTGGGGAATTACTCATTTGTCCCCTGGGTCACCCTCACATGTACACAAGGTATACATGTTAATAAACTTCTGTTCGTTTTTCTCTTGTTAATCTGTCTTTTATTACAGGGTCTTAGTCTAAGAACTCAGAAGGGTAGAGGGAAAATGTTTTTCCTCCCTACACAGGCAGGGAGGAAAGTCTTTACCCCTGTTTAAAGACTCTAAGGTTGCATCTTTTCTTCTTGCTCAAAAATCACTTTAAATATATTTCCAGTGTAATTTGACAAAGATCGCCCCCACTAATACCACAACATAACTATCAATTTTGTTCATTTACTTCCAGTTATTTTCAATGCATTTTCTTTTTCAAGGGGTTTTTATAACATACCATCAGTATGTGTGTTATTGGTAAACTCATATTAGGGGATGAGCTTTTTCCATATTGCTACTCCCTGCTATTTCATGCGTACCTTCATGTTTATAGAAATGTTATTGTGGCACACTGGGGGCTTCATGTTTTTGTCACCCATATGCGTCCTCCTGTGTATAATGGCACCAACCCTGTCCTGTTGGCTGCAGCGGCTCTGGCCAGTGACTGGGCCAGGGATGGGCTCTGGTGTCCCCCTCTGCTTTCTGGCTTCCTACAGTGCTGGGTGCAGGAGCTCCATGCAGGGCCCAGGAGCTTTTTGTGTTTCTAGTTAAACTTTACAAAGGAAGTTTTCTGCTGTTGTAGTATATGTAAATATGGGTCATTGAGGAGGGCTCAGGATAGATTCTTGATTAAATCCAAGGACCTGCTACATTCCTGCCCAGCAGCACCGTACGGCCCCCAGCGCCTCTGGCTTTCATGTTTCTTTGAAAAAATGAAAGATTTGTTGCTTCTTTACATTTCATACTAATGTTTTTCCCTAGGAGCCTCAAATTGTTTTGATGCTATTAGGAATAGTATCTTTCAGTGTTGTGTTTTCTGACTTGCTTTGTTACTCTATAGAAATGTTACTCATTTTTAACACTCCTCTGTGCTTCACTGCATTTTTGCTAATTATAATAGTTATTGAATGAATGCTTCAAGAATACATAATGTTGGGTGGCTTTCTTATTTTTTTCAATACTTATTTTTCTTATTTTGGTTCCATGCCTTGTTGGATTAGCTTGAATTCTTAAATTATTTAATTTTATGAAACTGGCTCTAGTATTTCACTGTTGGCAGCTGGTTTACCAAAACTACTCTTCATCATGATAAAGTTTATGTTTTACTCCTAGATTTAAATATTTTTATTAGGATTATTTTCAGGCTATAAGGAGATGATCATAATTTTCCTTTCTTATTTATCCCATGAATATAGTGTATTGTGTGCATAAATTTCCATATATCAAATTGTCCTTATAGTCTGTGAAAACCCCAACTTGGTTGTTGCATCAGTATGCTATAGATTTTTTATATAATAATATAAAATATATTATATATATTATATATATAAAATAAGTATATATAATATAAACATATATTTATATTCCCTACTGTATTCGATATGTTCACTTAGGGTCATAAATATGGAGGTATAGTTTTCTTTCTGTGTAATTAAGTCTTGTTATTACTGTTATGTTCATTCGCTTCATAGACTTTGCTCAATACATACTGAGTTTTTTGTTTCTGGGGCAATTTATATGATGTGAGAATTGCTTGTTTTCTGGAAGGCTAAAAGAACTTGCAGGTTTTCTTATGTTTGTCACATCTTCATGGAATGCTTTTGATTTTTAAAGGTTTTTAGTGTGATTAATAAATGTTTCTCCTCCCTGCGCCTGAACCCTGGCCCTAGCCCTCACCCATACCTCTTCTTTTTTTTTTTTTTTAAAGATTTTATTTATTTATTTGACAGAGAGATAGAGAGAGAACACAAGTAGGCAGAGTGGCAGGCAGAGGGAGAGGGAGAAGCAGGCTCCCCGCAGAGCAGGGAGCCCGATGTGGGACTCGATCCCAGGACCCTGGGATCATGACCTGAGCCGAAGGCAGCTGCTTAACCGACTGAGCCACCCAGGCACCCCGCCTCTTCTTTTTTTGAAGATGTAAGGGGTAATAACAAAATCCTTGATATTTCAACTTTGGTTCTCATTTCCTGTAAACAGATATTTCTCATGTTCTTTGAAAAGGTGTTTCACAGAGGAAGAAAAACAATGGCCAATAAATATATAAAAAGATGCTTAACCACATTAGCAGCCCCCCAAAATTCATATTTAGACCACATCAAGATACCATCTCATTGACCACTTTGACAAAAGTTAAAAGAACGAAAGCATCCCTGGGGCACCTGGGTGGTGCAGTTGGTTAAGCATCTGACTCTTGGTTTTGGCTCAGGTTGTGATTGCAGGATCATGAGATCAAGCCCTGAGTAGGACTCCAAGCTCAGCACAGAGTCTGCTTGAGTTTCTCTCTCTCCCTCTCTCTGTCCCTCCCCCGCCCCACTCTCTCTCTCTGATATAAATTAATCTTATATTTTTAAATAAGTTAATCTTAAAATAAAAAAGAATAAAAGCATCCTGGGCTGCTGAGAGAGAGGGGGATGTGTCTTCTGAGGCACTTGGTTGGAACAGAAAGTGATAGATAGCACTTTCGGAACAATGATTTGGAGTATCTCAACACATAAATGTGCATATGCTGAAGCTCACATCCCCCATCAGGAAAATCATCCCACGCAACACACAACGGCTTGTACATAGAGAAGCGTGTGTAAGACCTTCACCAGTTCCTTGAAGTGGTCAAGAGAAATAAAAACAATCTGAAATATCCATGTAGGGGGACCATTTACATTAAAACACACCAATATAAAAGAAAGGCTTACGGACACAAAACAGAATGAACCCAATCTATATGAACCGACCTGGAAAGAGACCCAGGATTTGTTAAGTAAAAAAAAAAAAAAGGTGAAAAACATGATCTCCATTTTTAAAAAGATTATATATGTGGTCTAGGACTAGGGGAAAATTCTGGGTGGAGGGACACCCAGTGGTAAGGAGGCTTAGCCTGGGGGAGAGAGGCTGAGGTTGGGGGAGGGAAGACCCATACCTGTACTTTCGCTCATCTGTCTTACTGAACTTTGTTACAGAAACCATGTGCTCCTTTCACAATAAAAACCAGTAAAATGGGGCACCTGGGTGGCTCAGTTGGTTAAGTGTCTGCCTTCAGCTCAGGTCATGATCCCAGAGTCTTGGGATCGAGCCCTGCGTCGGGCTCCCTGCTCAGTGGGGAGCCTGTTTCTCCCTCTCTCTCTCTGCCCTTCCCCCCTGCTTGTGCTCACTCGCTCTCTCTCTTTCAAATAAATAAATAAAATCTTAAAAAAAAACCCAGTAAAATAAAAACACCTTAATGACGAAGCATACTTATTCCTCACTCCCCGGTCGTGACAGACTCTCCAGCTTGTATGGTAAGGCATTTAGTACAGGGAAGACTGCTGAGCACGTAGTGCGATAAGCAAAAGTTGGATGCATTAATGTCATTAAATATTAATATTGTCATCTTTTTAAAAAGCCACATGTGACAAGTTTTGCTAACCTGTTATTTTGATCTTTTGTGTCATTTTTATTGCAGGGTATCTCCTGTATGCAAGAAATGATTCAAATCCAATCTGTACCCAGTTTGATACTCTTTACTTATTAATGCTATAAATATGAATCGTTATTATTTATTGCCATAATTGTTCCACTTTGATCTGAATCATATTGTTTTAGGTGTTCTGCTTTTTGTTTCTTTGCTCTCTTTATATCCCACACAGACACAATGAAGAGGTCTCAGCTGACGTGGTGAGTGCTTTTGAGTAGCTGCCCCTAACAGCTCCTTGAGGGTAGAATGTCTTTGCTTTCCTGTCTACACTATAGCTGGTGAACGACCCATAATGAGGGCACATTTAGAATAAGTGCTCATCATTCACGAAACTGAGTTTTTTCTATTTAAAATTGTGGCTGAGAGATGCCTAGGTGGCTCAGTCAGTTAAGTGTCTGCCTTGGGCTCAGGTCATAATCCCGGGGTCCTGGGATCGAGCCCCACATTGGGCTCCCTGCTCAGTGGGGAGCCTGCTTCTCCCTCTCCCTCTGCTCTCCCCACTGCTTGTGCTCTTGCTCTCTCTCTCAATTAAATAAATAAAATCTTTTTTAAAAGTTAAAATAAAATAAAACTGTGGCTGACTGTCTTCCCAGTCCTGGCCTAAAATAGATCTTGGGGAGGTGACTCTACCTCATTTTGTGGGGGAAAGTAAGAGAGAGTGAACAGGACCAAGGCTTGGCAGTGCTGGATCTCCTTGAGATGGGCCCGTATCCCTCCAGTTTTAGTAAGCACCTCTGAGACTTTGTGATTTATACATAGGATTAGAGGTAAGTTTCATGAATCATCATATACCATATTCCATAACATATCTGTAGATAAAACTGTACTTTCTGGCAGAAGAGCTCAGAATGTCATACTACCTGGGAGGGAGTAGCCACCCTTCTCCCAAAGAGGGCCTCATACTCCTCTGATTGGCTTAGATTCCCTGTCGCTGAGGGGCCATGGCTGTGGCTACCTTCCATTAAAGGACCGCACACAAATGCATGAGCCCTCTCTCTCTTGGCTTCCTGTCTCCACCCCCAAGGAGTGATGAACTGGCCTGTCCATCTTGCTCCCTCATCTCCCCTTGGTTGGGCACTCCCAGTGCATCAGCCAGAGGCCAGAGTACTCCTGAGATCTGGGTTTGAGTTTAGGGAGAGAAAAGCTCTCTTGGATTAAACCACATAATGAAATCCACTTTGCCAGGGAACCCTGCTCTGGAGATTCAAGCCCAAGCCAGGAGATGCCATGGCCTCTTGTGCTAATATCTCCTTCAAGGACCACTGAGTGAGGGGGTGTGGCTGGACCGAGGCCAAGTGCAGGCATGTCTGGGTTCCTGAACACACAAGTGAAAGCTGACCTCCAAACTCACCACACAAACCTACCAGTTGAGGGTTGCAAGGATTGGTGGGGCTCATGCAGATGTTATATCTCAATCTGAATATATATTCTGATTTGGGGTTCATAAAATATAGTCCCTGTAGCTAAGGGGCCCTGGATGAGATGTCTCAAATTGTGAGAGGGGTGTGAGCTGGGTCTTGTGGGAAATGAGGGTAGGAATGAGGCCTTAGACCCTCGCCTTCACTTTAGGAACTAGGATCACCCATATTTAGGGCCCCAAGTCACTTGCCAGTCTCCAGCATCTCCCATTGTAGATCGAAACTGCACTGTGGTCAGAAGAATCTACTGAGGGAAGGGGAATGTTACCTAGGTAGATTCCAGGTGATGCTGTAGTCAAGGTGCTCTGACAGCACCTTGACGCTTCTCTACATGTGAGAATGGGTCCTGAACCAGAAGGGACACAGCTTCACATCATAAAGAAAACAGACCCCACAGTCATTCAGAGAGGTGGTGGCTTCACACAGAGCTGACACCTAGGGAGTCAGACCTAAGAATTTGTAAACATATGGAATCCATGGAAGACGGTGAGTCTGGGGCGGGGTGCGGGGAGAGAGCCAAGAATGAAACCCTGAGAAGTGCTAACATTAAAAGAGGGATTTGGGGAATAAAAGGGACCTCCTAAAGACTCAGAAGAAGTTGCCTGAGAGCTGGAAGTAGAGGGAGGGACCCAGAAGTCTCTTTTTTGTCTCCATTATTCTGTGATGATGCTGGACTTCTGGAGAAATGGATGCTGGATGAATGGATCAAGTTGTCAGCTTCTCTTGGCAATTATTCAAAAGCAACAAGGAAAGATGCAAACATCATCTATTAGAAACTGAAAAATAGGTAACATTTTTCCTATTTTTCTAAAGGATGCCAAAAGCCAGAAAAATAAGTAGGACTTTGGCAGGAAAAGGAGAGACAGTGCCAATAATCACAAAAAAAAAAATAAATAAAAGGTCCCTCTTCAAGGTGAAGGGCATTCCCAAAGTGCAGAAGTAAAATCCCTCTTTAAAATAGTGAGAATAAAGTGTACAGGTTAGCATTACATCTGGATTGGTTCCAAGAATCAAGGGACTAAATGAAGAAACACAGTGAGATGAGCCACATCTGTAGGAAGCAATTTGTCCTTGAAACAGAGAAGATAATCTGCATTGTGAACAGTTTGAAAACTGCCTGATTCCACTGCCTGAGGGAAACAGAAACAGAAATTCATGTAGAACACCCACATCAGAAAGAAGTTCTGCTGGCATAGAACACAGTCCTGGCTTCTTCCTTGTTTGAGTCTCCCATAAATAGCTGTTCCATGAAAACAAGCAACCAAAACAAGGTCTACATAAAAAAATATTAACTCAACAACAAAAAACAACCCAATTGAAGAACGGGCAAAGGATTTGAGTAGACGTCTCTCCAAAGAAGACATACAAGCGGCCAATAAGCCCATGAAAAGATGCTCAACATCACTCATCATCAGGGAAACGCAAATCAAAATCACAATGAGATACCATCTCATACCTGTTAAGAAAGAGATCATTAGGGCGCCTGGGTGGCTCAGACGTTAAGCGTCTGCCTTCGGCTCAGGTCATGATCCCAGAGTCCTGGGATCGAGCCCCGCATTGGGCTCCCTGCTCCGCGGGATGCCTGCTTCTCCCTCTCCCACTCCCCCTGCTTGTGTTCCCTCTCTCGCTGTATCTATCTCTGTCAAATGAATAAATAAAATCTTAAAAAAAAAGAGAGAGAGAGAGATTATTAAACAAAAACAGAAAATAACAAGTGTTGGCAAGACTGTGGAGAAATCACAACACTTGTGCTTTGCTAGTGAGAATGTAAAATGGCACAGCCAACAGCATGTCAGATCCCCCAAAAATTTAAAAATAAAATTACCCTATGGAATTACTGGCAATTCCACTTCTGGGTATATATGCAAAAGAACTGAAAGCAGGGACTCCAGCAGATATTTGTCTTCCCATGTTCATAGCAGCATCAGTCACAATAGCCAAAAGGGTAGAAACAACCCAAATGTCCATCAATGGATGAATGGATAAACAAAACATGTGGGATATGGAATAGATATACAAAATATATACAATGAAATACTATTCAGCCTTCAGAAGGAGTGAAGTTCTAACACGTGCTACAACATGGATGAATCTTGAGGACATTAGGTTCAGTGAAATAAGCCAGACACAAAAGCAAATATTATACGATTCGTTTCCATGCGGTTGCTAAAGGAGTCAAGTTCATAAAGATGGGAGGTAGAAGAGTGGTCACCAGGAGCAGAGGGGTGGACGAACTTCCGGGGAGTCAGTGCGTAATGAGCACAGTTTCTGTTTGGGAAGATGAGAAAGTTCTGGAGATGGCAGCCAAACAATGTGAATGTACTTAATACTGCTGAATTGTACATCTAAAAAAGGATGAAAATGGTCAATTTTATGTGACGCATATTTTACCACAATTAAAAAATATATGTGTTCAAGGTCAAATTGGAAACAGTAAAAACAAAAACAGAAACAAATGGCATATAAAGAATACTCTCCAGAAAGGTGTTGCCCAAAAGCTCATGAAAATTGTGAACAATTAAAAGGGAGGAGAAAAATAAGGGGGCGCCTGGGTGGCTTAGTCAGTCGAGTGTCTGACTCTTGATTTCAGCTCAGGTCATGATCTCAGGATTATGGGATTGAGCCCCACATCAGGCTCTGTGCTCAGCCAGGTGTCTGTTGGGATTCTCTCTCCCTCTCCTTCTCCCTGTCTTTCCCCTCGCTCATGCGTGCCTGCTCTCTCTCTCTTTTTCTCTCTCTCAAATAAATTAATTAATTAAATCTTTTTAAAAAAAAGAAATAAAATTGTGAACAATTATTTTGCAATTAATTTTTTTAAAGCAAGTGTAGCAGTTTCCTGTACAATACAAGAGCAAAACAGGGCTCTCAGGCTCAGTGAAGACACAGCAAGACAACAGGAGGAAATGAAGAGGAAACTGGTCAAGCATAGGAAAAAAGAGATGAGAAAAATAAAGCCATCGCAAAAATAAGAACGGGCTCCAGGAAGAATGAACCGTGTTTTCAGGGTGATAGCCTTTCTTACATCTCGTAAAAGCTCTAACGATTATAGATTTGCACGCAGGCGGGAATCACGGGTTCACCAGAAAGGAATGCAGGGCGGGTAGGGGCATTGATTGACTTCTCGAGGACAGGATGGCTTTCCTTCAGGCAGCTCACTCACAAAGCAGGTGTACGAAGCCTGACGCACGCGTGGTGGGCCATAAGTCAGGCTTTGGGTTTGAACAAAGCTTCTAACAGTCACATTGGCTTGGAAGGAAATCTCCAATGGCTTCCCGCGTATCTCAGGCCTTCAGAGGGTTTTTTCTGTCATCATTCTGCTCCTGAAGAACTTCTGAGAAGAAATGAGAACAGCAAAAGCAGGAAGCACAGTGGCATGGCAACTATTTAACCCCCGCGAGGGTAAGATGTGGGAAATGGGACTGGCAGGCTGTGGTCTGAAATGGGGACAGTGGCTCTCTTTCCCCTCCACGCTTTAAATCTTTCCCGTTTCCCATGATATATTTCACTACTGTAATTGGGGGGGGGGGGGTAGGTGGAGACTCCTCCTTTCCCGTCATAGGGTCCTTCTTTATTCAGGGATCCCCATTCAGGGACTCTATTTTAAGAAAAGAAATCGTAATAATAACGCAATAAGCTTTTGGCACACAGATATTCATTTTACCACTATGCATAAAAAAATTTTTTTGAAATAATCTAAATGTCCCTGAAAGCGGAAGGCATCTAGTGTAGCCCTTGCTTTTCCTCTTCTGGCTCCTTTCTCCCTTCCCGTACCTTACAGCGCCCACCGCTCAGGCCCCATCCAGCACAGGCAAAGGCACGTGACCCAGTCCTGACCAATCAGAGCGGCCCCTGGACCTCTGCCCCGCCCCTTTCCCCTTGGGAGCACCCAGTGGGAATGGGGTGCACTGGGTTGCGGGGGGAGGCTTGGGGGAGGGTTCTTGTCTGAACCTGGTGCAGGCCTGCCTGAGAAATGGAAAGGCAAATACCTGATGACATCCTTTTTTGTCCTCTGGATCCAGACACACCTGAAACCCGCTGTACCCCTAAGCTGGCTAAGCACACGAGTCAATAAACTCCCTTTTTTGTGTAAGCCAGTTTGCGTGGCTTTTGGCTACTTAAAACAGAAAGTGATGACTAACATATGTCTAATTTAAAAGATTGTATATATAATCAAGAGAATATTTCGTAACATAAAAAAAGTCTATAAAAACTAAGTGAAATAGAGAATGGTAGGAAAATATTGTGAAGTGAAAACAGCAACCTAGAAAGTTCTAGATCTGTAGGCAAAGGAGGGAATTGAGAATGAGAGAGAGAAAACTCTGGGTTGCAGAAAAAAATCTAGGATTTTTATCTAACGCAGCCTTGAGGGAGGGTCCCCAGCGGGCAGTCTCAGGACAAGTACGGAAGGCAGGCACTTGAACATTCTACACCAGACTGCCAACAGTCGTCACCCTTGGTTGATGTATTATCCCTTTTTTTTTTAAAGATTTTATTTATTTATTTGAAAGAGAGACACACAGTGAGAGAGGGAACACAAGCAGGGGGGAGTGGGAGAGGGAGAAGCAGGCTTCCCGCCGAGCAGGGAGCCTGATTTGGGACTTGATCCCAGGACCCTGGGACCATGACCTGAGCCGAAGGCAGATGCTTAACGACGGAGCCACCCAGGCGCCCAGTTGATGCATTATTTCTAACTCCTGTGTTTTACTTGACTGAATTTTATTTTATTTTACTATTTTTTAAGATTTTATTTATTTATTTGACAGAAAGAGCACAAGCGGGGGAGCAGAAGGCAGAGGGAGAGGGAGAAGGAGAAGCAGGCTCTCGGCTGAGCAAGGAGCCGGATGCGGGGCTCCATCATGACCTGAGCCGAAGGCAGATGCTTAACCGACTGAGCCACCCAGGCGCCCCTGCCTGAATTTTTAAAAAGTTGTATTTAATGTCCATGCACTGCTTTCAAAACAGCAGCTAAAACATAAGAAAGAAGTAGGTTGAAGATAGGTGATGCAGGAAGCCTGGAGAGGTCCTCACAGTTTCTGAGGAATCCTAAATTGCTCTGAACTCGGGGAGGAGAGAAGGGCTCCTGGGCCTCTCTCTTTCCTGATGGAATCTGGTCGAGCAGTTTCCAGTGACGTCCTGTTGTGTGCAAACCCAGGTCTTACCCAGCATTACCCTGGGTGCCGGAGGAAGGGAGCAGAGCAGGCAGCTGGCCACGGAAAGGTGAGCACAAGATGCCCCTCACCTCAGGGACCCTCCTGTCCTATCCTCTGCATTTAATATAGAGCCCGCACCAATCGACACATGCTTCATGAGGACCTACTGTGTGCGCGTGAGTGAATGGGGCATCGGAGAAGCAGCGGGAAAGAGGCGGCGCCCTAGAGAAGGGATGGGGGACAATGAAGAAGCAGGGTGGTGAAGGAGAGGCAGGACAGATGGACCTCGCCACACTCACTAGCTGACCGCGCCCTCAGGCCCCAGTTGGACCTCCCGATTGCTAAGTCCTAGGCATCGCCTCTGCCAACCCAGCCCGCCCCCACCGTGTCCCCTTTTAATTCTGCTCAGAGTCCTCTCCTGTCACCTGAGGTCCTGCTTCCCCACGCCTGCCTGGAGGTCAAGCCAGAGACCCCGTGGCTCCGCCCGAAGACGAGCTCCTGGGCCTTTTCTCTTGGAAGAGTTTCTGTAAAGAAACAAAAACACCAGTCACAAGAGGGCTTGCAAGGGAGGGCTCGGGGGGCAGCCTGGCAGGCTGCTCTGGGTGCTGCCTCTGCCGGCAGGCTTCCTGGCTTTGTATCCTGACTCTGCCACCCCCTAGCTGTGAGCACTTGGCGAGTCACTGAAGCTCCCTGTCTTTGTCAGCTGGGGCTGTCCTAGCGGAATAGCACAGACTGGGTGCCTTATATAAGGGGAATGTGTTTTCTCCTAGTTCTGGAGGCTCCGGCCAGTTGGGTTTCTGGTGAGCCCTCCCCCTGGCTTTGGAGATGGCCACCTTCTCGCCGTGTCCTCCCACGGACTTTCCCTCTGTGCGGGCGCAGGCAGAAAGAGAGAGCCCTCTTGTATTCCCTCCTCCTCTTAGAAGGACATCAGTCTCATAGGATCACCCCTTCCTATGACCCGATTCAGCCCCAGTCGCCTCCCAAAGGCCCCACCTCCAAATAGTCACTCTGGGGCTTCAACCTATGAAGGTGCAGGGACACATTTCAGTCTGTAATGCTCCCTGTGGCTCAGTGCTCTCTGTTGTACACCTGGGAAGACCCTCTTCCCAGCCCATGGACCTCAAGGAGCAATGAGAGAGAAATCGAAGGCATGACCAGGTCTGTCCAGGAGAGGCGCCATTATCATCAAGAGGCACCTGACATCATTTGGACCCCCCGGGCCACCAGGTGCCCCAAATCCTCAGGAACATCCAAGCAAACTTCACACACACACACACACACACACACACACACACACACACACGCCAGCTCCCTTAACTCCCTTTCTTTAAACCTTGGTGCCCATCAGCCCCGGTTAAAGCTTCTCCCCTCCCTCCAGCCCTACCCATGAAGGAGATGTCAGCCTCACCTGCTGCTGCAGGCTCTCATAGAGCTGGGTGAGTTCTGTCAGCTTCCTTTCTAGCTCCCGCGCGTGGGCCCTCAGCTCTTCTGCCATCTTGCTTCCTTCTCCTTTCTTCAGTTGCTTCCAGTCGGTCAGGAGGGTGACCACGTCCTGGTAGAGGGAGAAGCCAGCCATAGCACTACACAGCATGCGAGCATTTTTCTTTATCAGCACTGCTGTGCCCTTAAAGGCCCTTTGCAACTGCATGCTCCTTCGGGCCGAGACTTGGCCAGTGGTCAGGAGACGCTTGGCTGCAGTGGCCAGACGCGGGTGGGCTCTGGCTCTCTGAAAGGCATGGATGTTCCTCTTAACATCCATGATGTTACTTCCACAATCATAGGCCTTCTTTCCGACACTCATGATATAGACCATCTTTCCCTGAGCCTCCTCGACCTCATGGTTATGGGTAGACACTAGGGTGCTGGCTTGAGTTCGGGCTTTTTGACTTTGAAAGTGTTCCATAACATTGGTGAAGATGCTGGTGAACCCGGCTGCTGTCCCCAAAACTTTACCAACAGCAGAGAGCACCAGACTTCCTCCTATTGTTGATGGGACGAGGACCAGACCCAGGATGCTCATGGTGTCTGAGACCACAGTGATGGAGGTGGCCAACATGTTGGTCTTGGTGAATGTTCTGTGGGTTGTGTTGATGTCATCTGCAAGGGCATGGAGCTTCTTGATGTCCACTTCTAGCTCTTCCTTGATGATGGGAAACTCTTTCAAAAATATTATTTCTTCAGCTGACAGATCCTCATCTTGTTGCTGCACATCCTCACACAGAAGACTGTCATCCTGGTCCCTGTGGGTGAGCAAAAGAAAGGTTTTGCTTAAGTCTCCCTGATGAGAAAGTCACATTCTTAGTCAGGCTCATTGTGGTTTCTGGGTGTTCTTGCCACGCCTGCCTCTGAATTCGTCCTGCATCTCCCTGACACCTCTGTTACCTCTCACCCGGCCATGGAGAGTCCCAGAGCATTGTTGGGAGCTGCTGCTTCCATGAAGAGAAGAAACACACATAGTAGAGACTTCTGGAGGGACACATGGGAGAAACACAGCCTTGCCTAAGAGATGGAGAAGGTAGATTAGTCCCGGGGGACATGTTCAGCCTTGTTCAAAGAGACTGTCACCCAGGAGGGACAGTGAGGAAATGCTAAGATCTGAGTCAAGATAAAGAACCTGGGACTAATGGAGGGGCAGGTGTGGGAAAAGCAGGAGAAAGAGGAGACCAGGTCGAGGGTCCTGTATTTGTAGAGGTGAGTCAGAGGAAGGAGGCGCCATATTGTACAATGCAGCCTACACTCCCACGGCCTTGAGTCTGGCTGCTGTGGTGGCCTTTGCCTCCATCTGGATTTGAACACCGAGAGGGCTGAAGTAAATTATCACTAATATTCTGAAGGTTCTCCTTGGTACTTCGCCAGTTTTACTTGACGACTCAAGCAGATGGGTTGGGTCCTTCATGGAAGATGTCAGGGACAAAGGGCATCTCCTCCCCAGTGTCTCACAGTACAAAGTATTAAGGGATCTTCATCACCCCAGAAGAGTTTGGCCTTTATGGGAGAACAGTATCAGGGAGGAGCAAACTGACTCCTTCGGGCACTTTCCTCAAACCAAGGGCTGTTGGTGCATCTCCTTCAGGGTGAGCTTAGGAGGCCCAGTGATGACGGATTCCCTGGCCCAGAGGAGAGACTCAGAACTGGAAGGAGCCCTAACCAGGGTACAAGCTACCACCTTTACTTTTCAGCGGAGGGAACAGAAGCCCAGAGAGGAAAGGGGACTTGCGCGAAGGGATGCGTGAGATGAAGATGGAGCTCCGAGCCCACTGCCATTCTGGGCAGTTTTTCTCTCCTCTGTCAGCTGATGTCAGGAATTCCTCACTGAAGTGTATATATATATATATATATATACATCTTTTAATATCTTTCTCTCTCTCAACACACGCACACAATTTCTCAATGGAAGAGGTAAAAAACCAAATATACTTCCAAGGAAACCCCTTAGCATTAATAACGAATGAATTTAGGCCCAATGATCAGTTAATCAGCAGCTGTAAATCAGTTCACAGAGCAGAAGGTTGCCAGGGGCTTGCAGGGATAAGGGGAGGGATGAAGGCTAGGAGGGAGGCCATGGCTGAGGACCCCTAACCTTTGCGATGCCACAACCCAGCCCTCCATGCCCTTGTGTTTCCTCAAGGGAGCGGGGGCAAGGAGACGAAAGGACAAGGAGGTACAGAGATTGACTACCCCACTTTGCGTCCACTACTGAGTTTTGTCTTTAACATGGTTGAGAGAGAATGGGAGTTAGACTTCTTGTGCTTTTGAATGAACCCGAATGTCTCCGATGCGGGCATTTCCTGTGCCGCCATCCTCACGGGGGACAGGTACAGCGTGGTGGTCCAGCTCTAGAAGGCACCATCTCGCATAAGCTCCCCTGGCTCGCTCAGCGAACATCTGTTGACTGTCCGCATTGTGCTGGAAGCTGGTGGGGTGACGTCTGCTGATCTGCGGCTCATCGGGCCTGAATTCTTCAATGCAGTGACACCCATGGGCTCTTTCAGTAATGGCTGAGGCCTCACGGGCCTCCCCTCTATGAGCGGGGCAGTTTCTGCCCTTCCAGGCCTATTGCCCGATGTCGGGCACCTGACTGATCTGGCCTTCTCTCCAAAATATTCAGTGTAGGCCGTGGCATATTTGTTTCCCCGTCGCATTGCAGGAGGATGCCTGGAGCATTTCAGCAGAAGCCGCCCTCCCCAGGGACAAAGCTCTCCACCTTACCTTGGGCATTCTGTCCCTGCCTCGCTGTCCAGAGGCTCCTGCCACCCCAGAGTTGAGCTCATTTGGTCCATGGGAGAATTAGAGGTGCCCTCGTGAGTCACTGGTGCAACGTTCTGCTTGGACACCTGGAAAACAAGGTTACTGCAGGTGCCAGGAAACCATGTGAAGTTCAAGGTTTGCGGCGGGATTTTAGGTTATGTGAAATCAAAGTAATAATGAAATACTGACAATATACTAAATATTTGCCAACTACCGCCAGTACATTTTATAGTGTGGTGTCGCAATATATATTCTATTTATAGAAACTTTATTCATAATTCCCAAAACTTGGAGACCACCAAGATGTCTTTCAGTAGTGAGGAAACAAACGGTGGTCCAGCCAGATAAAGGAGTATTATTATGATTCAGCACTATAAGAAATGAGCTATCAAGCCATGAAAAGACCTGGGGGAACCTTAAATGCATTTTACTAAGTGAAAGTAGCCAGTCTGAAAAAGCTACGTTCTGTGTGATTCCAACTACAGGACATTCTGGGAAAGGCATAATTCTGGAGACAGTAAAAAGAGCTGTGGTTGCCAGGGGCTGGCGGGAGGGAATGAGGAATAGACAGAGCAGGGAGGGTTTTTAGGGCAGGGAGACTATTCTGTCAGCTCTTGCAATGGTGGATAGATACATGTCATTTTACATTTGCCCAAACCCATAAAATACACAACACCAAGAGAGAACCCCAATGTAAACTATGGACTCTGGTTGATAATGATGTGTCAATGTAAGCTCACCAGCTATAACAAGTGTCCCATTCTGGTCTGGGATGTTGATAGGGTGGGGGGAGTGCTGTGCATGGCTGGGGGGGTGAGGGGAGCCAGGGGGCATATGGGAAATCTCTGTACTTTCCCCTCACTTTTGCTGTAGATCTAAAACTATTCTAAAATATGAAGGTTATTTTTTAAAAAAAGAACCAGGCAAACATGCAGATACAAAAAGGGAGCAAAAAGCAAGCATAATTCATAGTTTAAAAAAAAAGGAAGGAAGGAAGGAAAGAAAGGAAGGAAAGGAAAAGAAGGGAAGGAAAGGAAGGAAGGGAAGGAAGGGAAGGAAGGAAGGAAGGAAGCAAAGAAAGAAAGAAAGAAAAAAGAAAAGTCTGAAAACCACCCCAAATGGACTAGTTAAGTATGTGGTTTATCTAACAACGAAATAGTATGCAGTCATTTAACCAAATGAGGCAAATCCATATAAACAGAGGGAAGGCTCTCCAGTGCACATTGGTACATGAGAAGGCAGGGTATAGGATTCTGTATTCTGTGCTCCCATTTGCATTGAAGAAAGACACATATGTTTGTAGAGACCAGAAACTAGCAACACTGATTGGATTGGGGGTCAGGGATGAGATGGAAGCTTGCTTTTCATGCTTCATCCTTTTATACTTTCTATCAATCACTTTTGCCATATACCTGCCTGTGATGCCTTAATTTTTTTTTAAGACTGTCCCCGCTAGCAGGTTGAATAGTGGTGTCCCTCCAATTCGCGTCTCCCTGGAACCTCACAATGTGACCTTATTTAGAAATCATGTTCCTGAAGATGTAATTAGTTAAGGATCTTGAGATGAATTCATCCTAGTTTGGGGGAGGCGGGGTGGGGGGGAGCCTAATTCCAACGACTCCTTACAAGGAAAGGACACAGACACACGGGAGACGGGTGCGTGATGACCGAAGCAGAGATGGGGGTTAAGCTGTCATAAGGTCAGGCTTGCTTGATTCACCAGAGGCTGTGAGAGGTGAGCAAGAATTGATTCTTCCCGAGAGCCTTTAGCTGGAGGACGACCTCTCTGGCACCTTGATTTCAGACTCTGGCCTCCAGGATTGGGAGGGAATCCATTTCCATTATTTTAGGCCACCCAGTTGGTGGCACTTTTATTCCGGCTGCCTGAGGAAAGGGACACATCCTCTCTCATCTCTTCTCCTATATTTGGTGCTTGGCCTCAGAGTGTATGTCAGAAATGATACCTGAGCTATGCCTTCTCTCTCCCGGTCATCTTTCTCTCCCTCTCTACTTCTGAAAGAACTTAGAAAAAAAGTCTTCCCAGTCTAGCACCGGTCGGGGGAGGGGCATCCCCAGCCAGCAAAGGTGAGATGTAACTTGATCTGTCCCATCACCTTCATAATCCTGTTTCCACTTAAACTTCAAACAGCCCAGGAAGAGAGAATCCTACCCTGATTTACCATCAAAGAAGTTGAGCTTCAGGCCTTTCCCGAGGCCAGAGCCCTGACAGGACGGGGATGTGGACCCCGGTGGCCCTGGTCCCAGCTCTCTGTCCTGAGCCAAGTGCCTACAGCCTCGCTCCTCCGCCTGCTGTCTCGCTGAGGGCTCGGGTGCCCAGGGACAGGAGGACCCCACCCTGCGCTCTGTCCTTACCTCTCTGGGGCCTCTGGTCCGGCGGGGGGCTGAAGCAGAGTCTCCAGCAGGTTCTGCCGCCCGGGGGGGAAAGCCCGAAGCTCTGCAGACCTCTTCTGAGTCAGCTGAGAACCTGGGTCTGGGCTCTGCAGGCACAGAAATGGTACGAACTGAAGCAACATTTCGGGGAAGAGCAGGGCTTACTGAGAAATGGTTTTCACTTTTGCTTTCCTTCTTTGCCTCTTTCTCTTCTAGCTGTGCAGTGAAGCAAAGCAGCAGAACTGTGGGCAGAGGCCCAAGCCCCCCTCGCCCTGCCCTCGCTGTGTGCTGGGCGCCAGGACAGTGGCCAGTAAGGTGAGGGCTCAGTCTAGGGGACCACGGGGAGCTGTTCCTCACCAGTGCTTGGCTTCGATTCCCCAGCTGTGAAATGGGTCTCAAAATAGTTCTTGCGGCTCAGAGCCGTGGTGAGGAGCGAGTCCTCAGCGCCCAGCGTGGACTGAGCGCCCCACAGATGCGTCACCGGTGGCTGCCGTGGGTGCTGTCACCGGGCTCTCCCTCCCTCTGAGCTGGGGACAGGCGAGGGCCGATGCCTCAGATCTGTAACTGTGACTTGCAGAAGTCGCTGGAACCCGAGACCCGTTTCGGTAATTCGTGTGGTGGAGGGACCTGACCCTGACCCGCCCGGGTGCAAGGACGTGGTTCTTGCATATCCTGCTTCATTCGCACCTTTGTGGTTTCCCTGAGAAATAGTAGCGTGTGACCAAACAGGGCGGCGAGGGGGTTGCAAAACCTTTGCAGAACCTTTCCCCAAATCCAGACCATGGGAAACTCTGAAACACATCTGGCCCCGAAGGTTTGAGTACAGGATTGTGGTTGTGAGTCTCCCGAGTTGCAGATGGCGAAACTGAGACCCTGGGGGGCGGGGGGGAGTGGCATGGGTCAGTGGCTTGCCCATGGTCACCCAGTTCTAGCCTCCATGTCTGTAGGAATAACCTGCGCAGTCATGGGCTGAGATCTGTGTCTCCGTGTGTGGGGGGGGGGGGGGGGGGGGGAGTGTGGGCCGTGTGGTTTGTGCACGTCGATAAGGCAGAAAGCCCTGGGTTGACTCCCCAGCCCTCCCGAAGGCCACACCGGCTCTGTGGGCGTCCCCCAGGGCCCTCCAAGCAGGGAGGAGGGATGAGAGGCCGGTGGGCTGCTGAGCTGGGACTTGGAGGGGCCTGAGGGGCCCTGGTGTCCTGGCCTCGTGCACTCTGGACAGAGGCTGTCCTCCAACTGGGGCAGCCGCCCTCCGGCCTCCCTGTGGTTTTCCCCGGCAACAGTCCCAGATGCCGAGGCCTTCCCTGAGGGCCTGGGAGCCTCAGACACCAGGCCGGCCACTGGACTAGGGTGGTGTTTACCACGGCGGCGCTGGTGAAGCAAGACCCCCTAAAAGACGCGGGGCGAGCAAAAGAATGTCACATGCAGCAAACGCCGCTTCTGGGGTGAGACAGAAAACATGTGGTGTGTCACCCAGCCAAGCAAGAGGACAGAGCTGCTTCATTTCGTAAACCTCACCTCCCCTTCCTCGGGGGCCCCAAGCCTGCTGACAAGAACAAACTTACCTTACGCTCCCTCGATCTCTTGCAATTTCAAATACACAGTGTTGGGTCAAGTTGGTCACTCGGCAGGTGAATGTTCAGGCAAATTCGGACCCGACTTGGGCATCAGGGCATTCCCTCTCCCCTTGAAAGTCTGCAGCCCCCTGAGAGGGCACCTGGGTGGGGATGCCTGTGCTGTGCCTCTGGGGTCTCCCTGGCCTGCCCAGAGGCCTCCTGTGTCCCACCATCCCATCAGGCGGCAGCTGCCTCGGGCTGGGGAAGCCCATCCAGCTGGCTGTTGGCTTGGTGGCGGCCCCCGGGCTCTGGTTGCAGGCACACCGGCCTCCGGCCCACACACCCGTGGAATAGGCTCCCATGCGCTGGGCCCACGTCCCACCTTGCAGGCCTTGCTCAGGCCCTGGGGAACTGCAGGGGGCAGGGTGAGGGGAGGACGAGCTGAGGAGACCTGGGGGCAGGGGAGGAGGTGGTCCAGCCCCTTCCTTGACCCAGACACACACCACTGGGGCTTCTCTAGCTGCTGCCCCTGCCCCAGACCTCTCTGCTCGGGCTGCCTGCCTCCTTCCTTCCCCCAGGCGGACTTTTCCTACCACTTCTGCCCGAGTCTGATTGCCTTATTGCTCTTGTCCCTCCCTCTGCCTGCTGCCCTCCCAATCCTGGAAGGTTTCTCCCTACACCCCTCTCTGTAGGGACTTCTCTAAGGTCAGGTCCGTGCCCCCCCCACACCCTATCCTGAGGACTTCTTGTCCTTTGTTCTCATTCCTTGAGAAATTGATGGCAAAGGGGGTCGGGGAGGGAGATGTCGCACAGATAAAGGGAAATATAGGGGCGCCTGGGTGGCTCAGTCGTTAAGCATCTGCCTTCGGCTCAGGTCATGATCCCAAGGTCCTGGGATTGAGCCCCGCATCAGGCTCTCTGTTCGTTGGAAACCTGCTTCTCCCTCTTCTCCCCCCCATTCATGCTCTCTCTCGCTCTCTCACTCTCTCTCAACTAAATAAATAAAATATTAAAAAAGAAAAAGGGAACTATACACTGGAACTGTTTCAAAAGCATCCCCTTTGCTCTCATCAAGGGCTTAGAGAGTTTCTCTGTTACCCAACAAACCAGCCAGGGCCTCCCTTTTGTGACCTAAATGAGGATGGTAGGAATGCCAGCCAGTTAGTCTGGTGCTCGAAGGCAGGCCCTCCAGGTTGCCCTCCCTGCTGGGGACCTGGCCACAGTCCCTGGTGCTGGAGAATTAGGGAGCTGACAGCCAGACACCTCTGGGCTGCCTGGAGCTGTGGTTTGAACACAAGCCCTAGAGATTGATTCAGGCTAATGTAACTTAAGAATCTTCTGGAACACCCTTGAAGCAGCTCCAGCTCCAAACGTGCAGCAAAACCACCGGGCCTGGGAGAGGGCAGGGAGCAGGCCGCCAGTAGCCCATCAGGAGCCGGGGGTCTCTTTTAGAAGGACACCCATGCTGCTCCTGAAATCTCCACCCTCACGACCCAATCACTTTCCACAGGCCCCACCTCCAAATACCATCACATGGGGTGTAGGATTCCAACGTGTGAATCTGGGGTGGGGGGCACAGACATTCAGGCTCTAACAGGCTGGGAGGCGTGGAGGTGAGGCTTGTTAGTGCACCCACCAGAACCCCCTGGGGTAGAGCAGAGGCAGTTACCCAAAGGAAGGGGGCGCTGTTCCTAGAATCAGCCAAGAAAGGATGTTGGGCAGGCAAAAGCAATAGGTGTCCTCTGCATCCCATCCTTTGCACTGTGCTTCCCCCCCACACACACCGTCCTTCCAGGTATAGGACTGAAGAAGGCCTTCTTTATGAGCTGCGACAACCCAAATAGAGCTCTGGATGTCCCCAGTCCTCCCCAAGAGTTGCACCAGAAGTCACACCCAGGGGTTGTATCTGCAGGCAACGGATCTACCCAGTGGACCCAGGGTGTCCAGCCTTCTCTCGTTCTACCACAACCCTTATTGATATTCTCAAATCTATGACCTCAGTGGTAAATCTAACCACCTTTAGTAGATAAGAAAGGGAATGAGGAGGAAAGGGAAGGAAACTTCTGAAAAATCACGCTGACACAGCAAGCAGGGAGTTGCAATCTTTTGGTTATAATCTTTTTATGAAACTGGCATTCACAATATTTTGGCCAACTTCAAAAATATTAGTAATAATATTGGTAGTAATCATTAGAGCTAGAATTTACTGAGTACTTGCCATGTGCCAGTGCTGTTCCAAGGGCTTCATGAGAATTAGTTCAGCGTCATGGCGGGTATTTGCGACTTTCCTTCCTAAACTACCCATTCCTTTATCCCCTTGCCTTCGGCCAGCTCCTCATCAGGTTGGAGTCCTTTCCGAAGGGTAGACCCTAAGCTTCACATGTTCCGGAATCAGGTGGGGTTAGGCTTCCAGCAGCTTCCCCCTGGTTAGGGCAAGCCGGCACGGACCTAGGGCATGGGAACCTCCCTCCCCCAGGGCATGTTGGCAGTATGCTACTACTTCTTTTGATGAGCACAGCCAACCACCTGTGTCAACAACAGTCCCCCAAAACAGTCTAGTAGTCCCTCAGAACAGTAAATATACCGTCAGTGGATGAATAGATACATAAATCATGGCATATACCTACGATGGAATTTTATTCACCATAAAAAGGAATAAAGTGCCAACACAGGCCACAATGTGATTAAACCCCAAAGGCCTTCTGCCGCTAAATGAAAGAAGCCAGGCACAAAAGGCCACACATTGGATGATTCCTTTTACATGAAATATCTAAAACAGGTAAGTTTATAGAGACGTAAAGCAGGTTGGTGGTTGCCAGAGAGACCAGAGGACAAGGACTTGGGGAGTAACCACTTAATGGGTTTGGGGTTTCTTTTTGGGGGTGTTGAAAACATTCGGGAACCAGGGAGAAGTGATGGTTGCACAACATTACGAATGTACGCAATACTGAATTGTTCACTTTAAAATACCTAATTCTGGGCGCCTGGGTGGCTCAGTTGGTTAAGCGACTGCCTTCGGCTCAGGTCATGATCCTGGAGTCCCGGGATCGAGTCCCGCGTCGGGCTCCCTGCTCGGCAGGGAGTCTGCTTCTCCCTCTGACCCTCCCGACCCTCCCCCCTCTCATGTGCTCTCTCTCTCAGTCTCTCTCTCTCAAACAAATAAATAAAATCTTTAAAATAAATAAATAAATGTTTATCAGAATTTACACAAGGGGGAAAAGAAAAAAAAATAGTAATCGATTGGGGCACCTGGGTGGCTCAGTCGGTTAAGGGTCTTCCTTCCACTCAGGTCATGATCCCAGGGTCTTGGGATCAAGCCCCACATCGGGCTCCCTACTCAGTGGGGAGTCTGCTTCTCCCCCTCCCTTTGCCCCTCCCCACCACTCCTGCTCTTTCTCTCAAAATAAATAAATAAAATCTTTTTAAAAAAAGTAATTGACAATGAAGACAAAGATGAGGGCAGTGAGCAAAGTGAAATGAAAACAAAGGTCTGGCAAGAATGCATGGAATAAACGCAAAACTCCAACATCTTCTAACTGAAATTCCCAAAGAAGACTGAAAAGCATGAACAGAACAAATATTTAAAGTTAAAATTCAGGGGGTGCCTGGCTGGCTCAGTCAGGAGAGTGTGCAACTCCTGATCTTGGTCGGGATCCTGAGTTCAAGCCACATGTTGGGTGTGGAGACTTAAAAATAAAATCTATAAACAAAATAAACTTAAAATTCAAGAAATCTTTCTGGACATAAAGGAGCACAGCATGTCCCAGGAAAAATGGCCACTGAATGGTAATACCAGCCCAGAGTCTAGCAAAGTTACCAGACTCCAGAGAGAACAAAGGGACCCCGGGGCCACCAAGCACATGGGCTTCAGACTTTCCATAACATATATATATATATATATATATATATATATATATATATATATATATATATATATATACACA